GGGTGCCGGAGCCACAGGGAGCTGGGGGAAGGGTGTGGGTGCTGCAGCCACAGGGAGTTGGGGGGAAGGGCGTGGGTACTGGAGCCACAGAGAGGAAGGGCATGGGTGCTAGAGCCTCAGGGAGCTGGGGGAAGGGCATGGGTGCTGGAGCCTCAGGGAGCTGGGGGAAGGGTGTGGGTGCTGGAGCCTAAGGGAGCTGGGGGAAGGATGTAGGTGCTGGAGTCACAGGGAGTTGGGGGGAAGGATGTCACATGGGTGCTAGAGCCACGAAGCTGGAGGGAAGGGCGTGGGTGCTAGAACCACAGAAAGCTGGAGGTTGTGGTGCTCAGGCCCAGCCCAGGACCTCCAGGATTCCAGGTCCCCCAGTGAGTTTCATAAATGAAAGCAAAAAGCTGGTGTTTGTGTCTGCGCCGTCAGAAACCCTTGCCTCTTCTTGAAGGCTCTGTGATGCCTGAGCTTCTGCTGCCACACTGTGGAGCCCAAAGAGCTATTTATTACTCAGGGCCCCAAGTATGTTGTTAAAAAGAGGGAAGATGGTCTCTAGGCAAGGAAATCTGTTTTGCCTAGAAAACCATTGGCTTATGTCAGATTGTAAGAAAACAGTCAACAACAAAACCCTGGTCTAAAAATTACAAGTTGTATAGTGTTTTAAAGCAGTTTAAAGAAACTTCTTTCACTGGCCTAACACACCTTCCTCAGGGAGGTGTTTGAGAAGAAATGCATCCCCTGACCACTGTTACAAGCCTCCTTTCTTCTTGGCTTTTCATTGGTGAGCCCTGGCGCCATCCTGGAAGCTGGTGCCATCTGTAGCAGTTGCACTGCCGGGAACGTGGCTTCCGTCACACCCATGGGTGTGTCCTGTGTCCTGGGTGGGCCCTTCTGTGTGCCGGCTCTCTGGGGGCAGGCCCGATGGACGCGGACCCTCTTTTCCTCACCGGTAGAGGTGAGACGGTGGGTGCTCTTTCCTTCTGCAGGGGATTTATGGCTGTTAAATTCCTTCTCCTCTCCTCCTTCTGTGAGAACAGCTCAGAACCTGTCTTAGCTGTGGCTCCTCTGCAGAAAGTAACAACCTTATTTTGGTTGTCACTGATGGCCTCCGGGACACAGTAGGCAATTCAGCTGGGGCTTAAGGCAGCGGATCTTAGCGGGGCACCGAGACCATCGATGTGAGAAGACAGCCTGGTACGCAAGCAAGGTGTGAGCAAAGGCAGTGATCGGAGCTGGTTTGGTTTGCAGTGCCTGTTTGCGCATTCGCTCCGGAAATTTTCCATGAGAGACTGGGGCATCGAGCAGAAGTGGATGTCTGTCCTCCTGCCTCTGCTGCTACTTTACAATGGTAGGTGGTTCCATTTTCACTTAGGAACTTTCTCCTTGAAAATGTCAAGCCGGAGGCCGGGTGCAGGGGTGTGCTGTCATCCCAGCACTTGGGGAGCCTGGGGCAGGAAGATTGCTTGAAGCCAGGAGGTTAACACCAGCCTGGGTAACATAGCAAGACTCTACAGGGCGTGGTGATGCGTACCTGTGGTCCCAACAACTTGAGGGGCTGAGGTGGGAGGATCACTTGAGGCCAGGAGTCTGAGGCTGCAGCGAGTCGTGATGACACCACTGCACTCCAACCTGGATGACAGAGTAAGACTCTTAAGTAAAGCTGGAAGGCATCTTGGAGATGGCCTGGGCCCAGAAGAGCCGGTAGGGAGCTCCAGAAGGAGCATGTTGCAGTATGCTCCCTGGTGCCCCAGGAACCGTGTTCCACCAAGCTGGGGCAGATACCTGGCTCTCTAACAAACAGGCAGCTGTTTGGTAGTTAAAACTTGGATGTGCTACAGACACAGCAGTCCTGGAACTTGGCTGAAGGTGGCCAGACACGGCTGGCTGTTCCTCATGTCCTGTTCCAAAAGCATTTGCTTCCGGAGCTGCCGCGCTTGGAACCCCCAGGCTCCGGGAGGAGCTGATGGCAGCGGCATACGGTGCTCCGTCATGATCAGTGCAGCAATCTGTTCGTTGGCTTTCAGGTGTTTGGGAAAACAAAATAGCCCTCGGTTCACTGCTTTTCCTTTGGCTCTGACCAGGGAGAAAAGCCGGTCATGGGTTCCGACCCCACAAATGGACGGGGTGCTCTCTGCTGGGTGCTGGTGGACTCTGTCTCCCTCATGCGTTTCTGCCTTTTGCGTTGCAGATCCGTTCTTCCCCCTCTCCTTCCTGGTGAACAGCTGGCTCCCGGGGATGCTGGATGACCTCTTTCAGTCTATGTTTTTGTGCGCCTTGCTGCTCTTCTGGCTTTGTGTGTACCACGGGATTCGCGTCCAGGTGAGCTGCAGCCCTCCGCACCACCTTGGGAGGTTACAGACTGTGTCTTCCCCTCCCAACTCTTGACAGCAGCCCGAGAGCTGAATTTCTCCATGAAAACCCATCTGCAGACCCATACTCAACGAAAAAATGCACGTCATGTAGAATTACCAACTTGGTTTTCTTTATTTCTTACTGTTTTTTTTCTTTTTAGGGAGAAAGAAAGTGTTTAACTTTCTATTTGCCTAAATTCTTCATTGTCGGACTATTGTGGTTGGCTTCTGTTACACTAGGAATATGGCAAACGTGAGTAATTCTATTTGTGAAATGTCGGTCATGAAAAGCATTTGACAGAAGTGGAAAGGCCAGGCCAGGCATGGTGGCTTGCGCCTGTAATCCCAGCACTTTGGGAGGCCGAGGCAGGCAGATTACTTGAGCTCAGGAGTTCGAGACCAGCCTGGGCAACATGGCAAAACCCCTTCTCTACCAAAAATACAAAAATTAGCTGGTCGTGGTCGCGGATGCCTGTAGTCCCAGCTCCATGGGAGGCTGAGGTAGGAGGATTGCTTGAGCCCCGGAGGCAGAGCTTGCAGTGAGCCGAGATCTCACCACTGTATTCCAGCCTTGGTGACAAAGAAAGACCCTTCTGAGGAAAAAAGAACAAAAGTGAAAAGGTGGAAAAGAATCAGCTTTCAATGTATCTAACTTGGTGGCACAGTAGAGCCCCCTTATCTGTGGGAGATTTGCTCCCAAACCCCCAGTTACTACCTGTGGGCTCGGATAGTACTGATCCATATATACCTGTTTATACCCCTCGATTACTACCTGTGGGCTCGGATAGTACTGATCCATATATAAACACCTATTTATACCCCCCCGGTTACTACCTGTGGACTCAGATAGTACTGATCCATATATATACCTGTTTATACCCCTCGATTACTACCTGTGGGCTCGGATATTACTGATCCATATATATATATATACCTGCTTATACCCCCTGGTTACTACCTGTGGGCTCGGATAGTACTGATCCATATATATACCTGCTTATACCCCCCGGTTACTACCTGTGGGCTCGGATAGTACTGATCCATATATATACCTGCTTATATCCCCCGGTTACTACCTGTGGGCTCGGATAGTACTGATCCATATATATACCTGTTTATACCCCTTCACTGTGCTTTGCTTTTTCTTTTTCTTTTTTTTTTTTTTTTAGACAAGTAGGAGGGTGACTTTAGTCACGGTCTGCTCAAAAACACAGGCTGCAGAGAACAGGATTTGGATTGGCAAATTCCTTGTACCCTCACATCACACTCCTCCATTGCTCTACCCTGGAGCATTTTGGCTGGGAGGCAAAACCCCAGTGCTATCACGGGTACCCCTTTACCCCTGATTCCACACCCAGAAGCTGGAGCCGCATGACCTGCGTCAAGGAAAAAGACCCCGTCCTGGTTTTCTGTGTTCCAATCGGCCCTCCAAACACATCCTCCACCTGGGACACAGCCTTCTGGTTGCCCTTTTCTGGGAGGCTTCTGAGGACTGGAACCTCTCTGCTTAAAAACCGTAGAGGCAACTGGTGTTCTCCGCCAAGCGGCCGCAGTGTGGGAGAGTGGATCTTTGACCCTAGCAATCTCTAGGACTGTATGCAAGGCCAGGCCCAGGTGGGCATACTGGCAAAGGCTTTTGGGAACCTGGCGAGGAAGGACGTAGGGAGCATCCGTTTCCACAATGATTCTCTCCAGTGGGAGCTGCCTCAGTGTTTCCCGGGCCTCCCAGGCGGACGAGTATGTCAAGTCTGCTTTGAGGCCCACTGACCTGTTGAGAAAGTACTTAAGCAGGAGTTTGATGGCCGGGGAGCTGCCGGTGAAGTAGTGCTTATGGATCTTGTAGTCAGAGGACACATGTTTTCTCAAGATGTCCAACAGCTCTTCATCAGCTTATTGACAGTGGATCACTAAGGGCTTCTTTAGAGACACAGCCGGCTGTAGCTGTCTCTCAGATACCTTGTGCTGTTCTGGGACAGGGGTGGTGCACTTGTAGGAATAATGAAAGCTGATTTCTCCAAATGCCACAGCCTCAGAGTGTCTTAAGGCATGTAAAAGATTGCTTCCTTGGCTGGGTGCAGTGGCTCACGCCTGTAATTCCAGCACTTTGGGAGGCTGAGGCGGGCAGATCACGAGGTCAAGAGGAGGAGATCAAAACCATCCTGGCCAATATGGTGAAACCCTGTCTCCACTAAAAACACACACACAAAAAAACAATTAGCTGGGCATAGTGGTGCATACCTGTAGTCCCAGCTACTTGGGAGACTGAGGCAGGAGAATTTCTTGAACCCAGGAGGTGGAGATTGCAGTGAGCCGAGATTGTGCCACTGCACTATAGCCTGGGTGACAGTGCGAGTCTCTGTATCAGAAAAAAAAAAAAAAGATTGCTTCCTTGCAAAATGAGGGTGACAGTCAAAGACCCACCATACTAGATCATCTTTCAAACAAACCCAGAGTGCTCCGAATCAGGTAGCCATTTTCACCGAATGCCACAGCCTTGGGGTGTCTTAGGCTTATACAAGATTGTTTCCTTGACCTTACTATCCTAATGGGCAAAATGAGGGTGACAGCCAAAGGCCCCCCCATACTAGATCACCTTTCAGTAGATCCTCCTGTAGGCAGTTTGTCAGGGTGTGAGGATAACAAAAGTCAGAGACGCAGCAGTGAAATTCCTTAGAGAAGGAGCTGCTATAAATTCTTGTGAGCTTAGTCAAGGTCCCTTTGAAAGGCAGTTTGGAATATAGCACGTCCAAGTGACAATGGATGTTATGAGGCCCTCCTCTAGGCTTGGCTCCAGTGGCTCTTTGGCAGCGAGCTGGATGCGTGTCCTCCACAAGGATGTGGTGGCGTCTCCTCTTGGAATGTTCTTTTCTCCCTCACCCCTTTTTTTCCAAGTTCTGGAGAAGTTAAATGGATGAGAATTGTGGGACCTGCCATCCTCTGAGGCCTCCTCAACTCTGGAGGTGTTTTGGGAGCTCACTGCAGAGTTGGGGGAATCACCGGGCAGCTCCGGCTGCTCCTCCCAGCCTGTGCTGCGTCGTCGCTGCTGCCCACGGACGGGTAGCCGGAAGGCTTGGGGCGGCTGGTGCACTAGCTGCCATACTCACGCCAAGGACTACTGTGCAAACGAGGCGGGTACATGACACAGTGATGAGAGAAGGCTCCGGAACAGCTGAAGGTTTGAGCAAGACAGGTTCCTCCTGAGAGAATGTGACCATGGAAATCTCCACATCAGACCAGTTGCTCCCTGAAGAGGGGTGCTCCCTCACCACCCCCTTGCCTTTACACTTTTGGATTTCTAAATGAGTGAGTCATCCATAAACTAGGGGTGGAGAGCATTTGTCAGTGGCTGTCCCTTGGTCCCCAGGTGGCTGCTCACTGGGTCTGTCCTGAGGGTCTGTAGCTACTGTCCATCATGGAAGCTGCTTCTCTCTGGCATAGTCTGGTCCTCCTCCAATCCCCACTGGGACTGACTCTTAATCCTTCTGAGCAAGGGTGACTGTGACACTCTTGGCAGTTCCTTCTCAGTCTTGCCTGTTTCTTCATTCCTAGTTGGTCTTTCTCCACAACTGGGACACTCTGCTATGATTGGTTTTGCCCTAGTGACAGCCTCTCATTGACTTTTTGGCCTCGATTTCCCCTGGATGCCCCGGTTAGCCTTCAGGCAGCTCATGCGGAGCCCTGATCTCAAATTCTATCCCTCTTCCTTTGCTGGACCTTGTTGGGTTCCTCAGTCGTATCATCCTGACCCTCAGCTTCAGCTGCAAATTCAGAGTTTATGTAGTTATGAGAGCTGTCTTTGGAATCAGTCTTTAAGCTGCAGGCTTTCTTTTCTAGAGAAGCTATTTCTTCTAGAGAGTGGTTGGCAGAACTTGGAGGGGTTCTCCCTCACAAAACGAACCCCCAAGGCTGGGCACGGTGGCTCACGCCTGTAATCCCTGTACTTTGGAAGGCTGAGGCGGGTGGAATACCTGAGGTTATGGGAGTTCGAGACCAGCCTTACCAACATGGAGAAACCCCTTGTCTACTAAAATTACAAAATTAGCCAGGCATGTTGGTGCACACCTGTAATCCCAGCTACTCAGGAGGCTGAGGTGGGAGAATCACTTGAACCCAGGAGGCAGAGGTTGTGGTGAGCCAAGATCACACCATTGCACTCCAGCCTGGGCAACAAAAGTGAAACTGCGTCTCAAAAAAAAAAAAAAAACAAACCCAGAGTGCTCCGAATCAGGTAGCCATTTTCACCAAATACCACAGCCTTGGGGTGTCTTAGGCTTATAAAAGATTGTTTCCTTGACCTTACTATCCTAATGTGCAAAATGAGGGTGACAGCCAAAGGCCCCCCCATACTAGATCATCTTTCAGTAGATCCTCCTGTAGGCAGTTTGTCAGGGTGTGAGGATAACAAAAGTCAGAGACGCAGCACTGAAATTCCTTAGAGAAGGAGCTGCTATAAATTCTTGTGAGCTTAGTCAAGGTCCCTTTGAAAGGCAGTTTGGAATATAGCACGTCCACGTGACAGTGGATGTGCCCGAGGAATGTGGCGGAATAGTGTAAGAGTTAAAGAAAGGGCTGGTTGTGATGGATCATGAGGTCAAGAGTTCGAGACCAGCCTGGCCAAAATGGTGAAACCCTGTCTCTACTAAAAATATAAAAAAAGTAGCCAGGCATGGTGGCAGGTGGCTATAATCTCAAACTTTTGGGAGGCTGAGGCAGAGAATTGCTTGAACCTGGGAGGCGGAGGTTGCTGTGAGCCGAGATCATGCCACTGCACTCCAGCCTGGGCAACAGAGACTCCCATCTCAAAGAAGACAAAACGCTAAATCGGAAAGAATCATGAAAAGCAGCTCAATACTCAAAGACAGGTTTATTTAGGAGAATAAACCTGAGAGGGGCTTCTGGCAGAGTTAGGTCAGAGGCACTGTCTCTTACAGATTAACAGTATTTAAGGATTAAGGGTGGAAGAGCTTATTAGAGGCTCAGAATGTTTCTGTATCTCTTTGTCTTGTTTATCTG